TTTTAAATTGGAAACGGAAAATCATTTGCTTCCCATAAGAAAATTATGAAAAAAGAAAGCCCATTTCTGACTCCAAAGAATTCAGGCTCCTGGGTTGAGGCTATAAACTAAATTCTTCTACATTAATGGGCTAAAACCATTTTTGGGCTGAGGAAATTATATTTTTACCCATTTAAAAGAGAAACAGATTTGAATATTTATATTTATTTTCCAAAAACAAATAGAGTAAAAAAAAGAAATTGTAATTTACTTTGTATAATTATCGCTCTTTTTGTGAGGGCAATGTAACTAATCTAATCAGGCTAATTTCTATCTTCGTATTTAAAGTGACAGAAGGAATTCATGTTTCTATCCGACTAATTTTGTTTGAATATTGATTAAAAATAGTTAAATGTCTTTACTGTTAGAAGATGAGTATATAAGTCAAGTTCAAGTTTTACCCTAAACAAATCTATCTCGTTATAAATAAATAAATATAAACTATTTACTCCCTCAAAATCCTAATTAAGTCCCAACGTAAAATGTCTATTGTTAATTTCTTTTTTCTCAAAAAAAAAAAAAAAAATTAATAGTTAACGGAAACAATTGCGAGTGAACTAAGGTGTACGTTACCCTTTTAAGACCTTGGAAATAATACTATAAATTAATGAGTATAGAGATAAAGAATAGAGTTTAATTTTGCAAAATGATATTTTTTAATTATAAAAGTGGGTAATATTATAGCTGCCCATGTTGCATGGTGCTCCCAAGAAACATCACACTAATTGCTCTTCAATCTGCTACTTTTCTTCAATTGTCTCATTTGTACCCTAGATTTGTATTGTATTGTCGACTAAATTATAAATAATTGATTATCAATAATTACCAAGTATAAAGAAGAAGAAGAAGAAGAAAAAAGAAAAAACAGAGACCCCAATAATATTTGGTTCGCTTTTCCATCTGTGAATAAGATGTTCCAAAATTTCGAATATGATCTACTAAGTTAAGACGATTTCAAAATTAAATAGGTGCATTTATTTTCCAAAACGACAACAACACAAAGTAAAAATCATTGTTACACCTTTAAAAGGCAACAAAAGTTGTCCATAAAAAATGATATGATGGATTACACGATCCTTTTAATAATTTCCTTCACATTTCCCTATGCACATTCATCTTCTTTTAATAATAATTAACATCCAAACTCTCTCATCTCACATACATACATATACATATACATATATATTAGTTATATAAGTTAAGAAGAGTTGTGGGCATGATGCCTGTGTTTTGTATTAACCTCGTGCTCCTCCGTTGCCGGGGATTCCCTTGTTTTCTTAAGACTTCTTTGATGCCTGCGAGTGCAAAAAACAGTTTTTAAGATTAAGATATTACGCGTAGTTTATTGATTTGATTGATGTACGAAATTTTATTATAAAAAATTTAATTATGATGCACAAAAGCTTACCAAAAAATACTTTTTCTGCTAAAATCAAACTGACATTAGGGTTTGTAGAATTCAAGTGTAATAATTGAGAGAGAGATTAAAAGTTTTTTTGTAAAGAATAAAAATATATGTAAAGGAGAGATTGCGTCTTTAATGAACCAATTCCTCACACCCACAAATATTTAGTGAAGATAATAATTAGACACAAACCCAAAATTTAAATCTTCTGAATTGGTTGTCATCAATTAAAATTTCCATGCCAAAAGAAAATTAACGCACTCAAATTACTTGTACTAAATTTCAAAACTGATTATCTTACCGAGTTTAGACACCTCACATGGCTAAAAACCAATAATACCGTCCAATCTTAAAAACATGTACATTAATTATATGATTACATACTCCTGTCAATAATTAAATAAATAATATACGACATTAATTAGATTATTGGAATTGGGAATATCATAATTGATCTTTAAGATTCCATGGATTCAGGAAATTATTAAATTCTTACTGTGAAATAAGCCATTGATTTGGCGTTCAAAACTTTGACCCAAAGTCATAAATTAATCGCCGTATGATTAAAAGCTAAGTTTTGCCCCTACTGCCTAACTTTGTAATAAATGTATGTTTTTCTAAATTTCAAAATTTAGGTTTTTTTTTTTTTTTTTTTTTTTAAAAAAATTAATTATTAAATGTAATAGAATTTTGTTAGCAACACAACATTAATAAGTACAATGCAACTCGTATAAATAGTTAAAAATCTAATATTAATAAATTAAAATTTTTTGAGTGAAAACAAAATTGATATGTATACAAAAAAAAAAAAATTAATAGTTATTATCCCCGCTTATTATTTTTATAAGATATTTTTAATTAATTTTTTCACATGCTCTTTTATTAACATATAATAAATAAGACTAAAACTCGTTATAACATTGACACTTCATTAATGTATAACAGAGAATATACGAAACAACAAAAACATATAAATAACAAAAGAAAATTTAATTTTTTTAAAACTTTTTACGGGAAAAGACACTTTTTTTAAAAAAAAAAAAAACAAATTATAATTTGGTCACATGAGGTTTTAAGATAACCACCACAGGAAGAAAAATAATCTTCTGATATGTTTCGTTGGGGAGTGATTCGCGTCATCACAAAACGACGAGCGGCAAGTTCGACAGTTAGAACATGCTGGGAACACCAATTATGTACACGTGGTGTCGTCGGTCCCACCTACGGGACGAGACATGAATCCTAGTTGGCAGACGGGACCCACCTCCACCTCATTCCAATAAAGCCAGTGATGACTGATGTATCTCGTCCTCATCAACTATCATAGGCCGCCGAAACACCAATCATCCCCATCTAAACTATCATTGTCTCCCGCCAAAAGGCATATCTTTACTCTCCTCCCCCCCGTATATATATATATTTTGCAAGTCTAATAAAACTAAAAATTAATTAAAGATAAGTTCTTACTTATGTTAATAATTAAAAATTAAAGTTTGGGAAGAGGGGGGGTTGTTATTGTGCGGTCAAATTCACGCATATTCTAGGATCAATGTATGTTGTGGGATATACCGATCGTTGATCGGTTGACATTTATTAAAGAATATTATTAGTAGAAGGGAAAATAAAAAAAAAAAGGATTGTGAAAGGGAATGAACATATGGGATCGAAAAATATATTTGAAAAAATAAATTCTTTAATTCAAGATTCAAGATAAGCATGAGGAATGCTTTATTTAAAATCAGGCTTTATTCGTGACATGGAACCTCCCCCACTAACAATACCGGGGAATTTCTATTTTTTTTTTTTAAAAAAACAATTATTTATTTTCATTTTCTTAAAATTAATACATTTCATTAGTTTATAAAATACGATCGGTTATGTCATTAATGGAAATGCTAATTTTAGCTAAATATCTTTTAATTTAAAGGTTTAAAATAAAATTAAAAAAAAAAAAAAAAAAAAAAAGGAACAAGAGTAAAGCGTAGTGGTTAAGTTAAGGGTTAAACTTGTCATTTTAAGCATAATATGATATGATAAACACAAAACGCATGGACTGAAATTTAGGTTGGTTTTCAAAACGGTCATCATTTGTCACCAACTTTGACGTTTAATTCTATAATCTTCCGTAACACGCCAATTAAATTAAACTCGATTTTTTAAAAAATAAAATAAAATCGAGCTTTTTAATTCACTTTTTTTTTTTTTTTATAACTTCAGGTGGTTCTTGAACCAGGATTTGTGCTTGCAAAGTGCCTAAGAAACGATTTGACCAGACCCCATTGGTTGACACCATCTAGACACGTTACATCCGCCACCACCGACGCATTTCTCTTCCTCCAAACGCTCACCCATGCAAGCGCCATACTCCGACACGTGTCCTCTTTCTCTGTCTTCTGACACGACACATGGTCTTTGTTTTTCCTTTTCTTCTCAAAAAGAAAATTAGTCATTATGCCACCTGGATTCAGAGCAATAAGTGAATCTAGGACCTCCTTGTACATGCAAATTAAATTTTATTTTAAAAATGCGTAATGATTATATTTTTAAATATAGAAATTTAAGGTGATTAAACAGTTAAATTTTGGGTTAGCGAGAGCAGTGGGCTAATTTTTTTTCCACGCGTTATGCCAGCTGTACAGGGCCTGGCCTGGATTCCGTGATTGCGTGCATGGTGGATCACGTCGGTCGACGGTCCCACTCCACACCGCCTCTCGTTCATTTACTCTTCCCCCTCATTCTTCTTTATTTTTACAGTTTATTTCTGGAAATACTCTTACCATTTTTTAAAAAAATTCATTTGATTTATAAATTTATCATATTAATTAAATAATTAATATAATTAGATATTACATAGAGAAGGAAAAAAAAAAAAAGATATACAATTGGGATATGAGTGTTTAATGATGAAAATAATTCGGATTTAAAATCCTTCAGTAAAAGTTACAACCAAAATTCACTCGTACAGAATTAAATAATTAGCATACTATATAATCTGCCTCCTGCCTCCTGCCTCCTGCATTATTTGATCTATCAAATAATTTTGCTGGACATACGTGGACCGACTTGTTTTATTAAAAAAAAAAGTTCAATCAATCATACCCCATTATTTCTTAAATAAATATATAAACACAGAATCATATAATTCATAGAGGTTTAAAGTAAAAAAAAAAAAATTATTGTGATCCAATTATATTTAATTAGATTGTTTAGTATTTTTTGTAAGAAACAATTTAAGAAAAATATTTGTAAAGTAATCAATATAATAAAGTGATGTCTCAATAAATTTCAATTTAACAAAATAAATATTAAAACAATTTTTTTTTAATTTTTTAAATTAAATTTGAGTAGATTAAAAAAAATGAATCAAATTGTAAAATTCATTATTAATTTTTAAGATTCACTTATAATTTATGATAAAATATAAAATGAAAAAGAAATAATTGAAAAAAATTAGGGAATATGTGGAGCAGTCGGCAGTCCGGTGGGCTTACGTGGCAAAATTCCAAGGGAAGGCAAGGATAAAATATTGACAACCCTTTTAAAAGGTCCTCGTCAGAATTTTCTTCCTCTCTTACACAGAAACAGGTATTTCTGCTTTCTCTCCTACTTCATGGAATTACTGAGAATGGATTGAGCCGCATCAATTTTTCTATTTTTTTTCCTCTAAATAAAAACACTAGAGAGAAGGCAAGCGGCATACGAAAGCATGAGGCAGTGAGTGGTGGACGAACATGAAGCAGAAGGTAATCTCCTTCCCATTGCTCTGTTTTTTCACTCGGACCAGCATTTGATACATCCTCCTTCGTCACAATCAACAGCCTATTGATCCTTTCGATCCGCCATGGCGAAAACGGGTGTATTCGATTCCGATCCGACGGTGATGGCTAAGGCGACGGAGCTTAAGAAGGAGTTGCAGAAATTGGTCAGGATTATCTCCGACGATGAGGATTATAGTATCCAAGCCGTCGATCAAGCCCTGGAAACGCTCTCCGCTTTGAAGGAACTTAAGACGAGAAAGAGGTCCCTCTCCTTGAAGCTACCGGACACGGTTCCCTGCCCGGAGGAGTTTCGTTGCCCGCTTTCCAATGAGCTAATGAGAGATCCTGTCATTTTGGCCTCTGGTCAGGTTAGTATTCGGATTTTCGCAATTGGTTTGCGTTGCTTTAGTTTGGTTGATGAGAGAGGTTTGGAAAGAGAAAAGAGAATATAAAATAATTTGATGTTCATGAGCGTTTTTTATTTAAAAAAAAAAATTAAAATTAATGTGTTTTTTCTTTTCATTCTTAGAAGAATAGACCCTTTTCCGAGTGGCTTAGCGAACATAACTACTAACTCGATAACCTGCACATATTGGTATCTGTTCTTCTTTATGTTGAAACTGCAGTTATATGACGAATGAATGAGAATCAAGATGTTAATCTTCTTTTGATTTTGATTTCTCAGCAACCAAACGTATTGTTGTGGGGCATTTCTGCGTGGAATTAAGTCTATATTCTTCAATTAAGTTTTTTCTTTTCTTTTTCTTTCAATAATTTGTTTTAATTATCTCTACGATTTATGAGATGAACTCTGCTTTTTGAAGTTCATTTATACTAAAACGTTGTTCCCTTCCGTCTCTCTGAGATATTTCTGTGGAAATGACTAATTATCGTAATTTTTAAAGTTCTCAATATTTTTTACCTAGTAAATCTAAATTCTCTAAGAAATTTAGCATACCTTTGATTCAGTTTGATTTCCAATTACCAAAATCAAATTGGTAGCTAGTTCTGGTTGCTTATTCCAAATGGTGGAAACAGGAGCTTTGGTTCATTTGCTTATCTGTTGCAAGTGTGTTCTATTGTAACAACTCTTTTGGTTTGAAATTTGTTACTATTGTGAGAGATTTTGACTTCTAATGGTTGGTGAACATTAAAGCGTGGCGCTCACTTTGTTCTCATTATTGCCTATTAGCAGGATTGGTAATTGTCTGATATGTCGAATTCTGGACAATTTGCCTCTGAATTTGTCAATGTTATTATGTTGGTATTAAATATGTTGTTTTCAGAGATGGAATGCTACAAAAAGGATTCTACTTCACCTCCTCTTGAAAAGGAAAAAAGACGGAAGAAGATGGACCTTTAAATAAATCCATCTTCCTTCGCAATAACAGACAGGCAGTTCTTGAGTCATCAGTAAATAGTTTTATATTATTCATGGATCCATCTTTGTTTATGTTGATTCAATTGGTGCTTACTATGCTGCTTCTTGTTCTTGATGTTTTATATGTAAACTTTACATGCAGACTTATGATCGGCCCTTTATCCAGAAGTGGCTGACAGCTGGCAACAGAACATGCCCTAGAACCCAGCAAGTTCTTCTCACACAATTCTGACTCCCAATCACCTAATAAGGGAGATGATTCACATGGTGCAGAGCCGGGGGGCATAGATCTCTGATTCTGTTCAGCATATATGAGGATGGTAACACAGAAGTAGATAGAGACCATTTTCTTTCCTGCTAGAGAAGATGTCTTCTACAATCACTGAACAAAAGGCAGCTGCGAGGGAGCTTCGATTATGACGAAGAAGATGCCTTCTTTTAGGGCACTTTTGGAGAGTCTGTTGACAGCATTCCTCGGTTGCTTGCTCCGCTCTCAGGAAGCAAATCCCATAGTGGGATCCAACGTGATCTCCAGGAAGATGTGATCACAACACTTCTGAATCTTTCAATACATGACAACAACAAGAAGCTTGTTGCTGAAACCCCAGTGGTGGTTCCCCTTCTTATGGAAGCATTGAGGTCTGGAACCGTTGAAACAAGAAGCAATGCTGCCGCAGCTCTTTTTACATTGTCAGCACTTGATTCCAACAAAGCACTTATTGGGAAAGCTGGTGCCTTGCAACCGCTTGTTGATCTTTTAGAAGATGGGCATCCACTGGCAATGAAAGATGTTGCTTCGGCAATGTTTAACTTGTGCATGATCCATGAAAATAAGGCAAGAGCTGTGAAGGAAGGTGCAGTTAGAGTGATCCTGAAGAAGATTACGGAGGGCATTCATGTTGACGAATTATTAGCCATCCTTGCTATGCTTTCAAGTAACCAAAGGGCTATTGAAGAAATGGGAGAGCTAGGAGCTGTTCCTTGCTTGCTTAGAATTATCAGGGAGAGCAACTGTGAACGCAATAAAGAGAATTGCATTGCAATCCTCCACACAATTTTTCTCAGCGATCGAACCAAGTGGAAGGAAATGAGAGAAGAGGAGAATGCCAATGGAACAATATCCAAGCTTGCTCAAGATGGAACTTCGAGGGCCAAGAGAAAGGCTAATGGTATTCTTGATAGATTGAAGAGGTCTGTTAATATTACATATACTGCATGAGATGCCATTCCCAAGCATCATCCTCACCAGTTGTAAATTCTACCTGATTCCTGAACTGTGGTCATATTTTGCAAGTCTGGGCATGTTAGAAGTCATCCTGGATCAAATCATTTTTGTAAATTCTCTTTGCCAGAATCCCAACTCAGGTTCATGAGTTTGTCTTTTATGTGAATAAATATACCGGGAGCTTTATCAATGCAATTTTCTCCTCCTTTTTGGTCCAAATAATCCTTCTTCTTTTTGCATTCCTTGTTTTTTGTAGAATGTTGATGCTTTATAATTTTACTGCTAGCGGCAGTTTTTGCCTTCTTTGCTTGTTTGCTAGCACGACTTTGTACTGTTATTGAGTTATTTCCTTTTCACTCGTGTAGACAAACACCGTCCTCTTTGTCCTCTCCTGCGCTTCATGACCCACATGGCTTATTTAGAAGCTACCCAAGAATTAATTTCATCTCTAACTTAATTGGAATCTTTGCAATGGTCTCTCCTTTCCATTTCACGGAAAGCCAGTGGGTCGCTGCTGGACCATGCATTCAGATTTTTTTATCTGCTACTTGACCTGTAAAATTGTCTGCACGGAATATATTTCCCGGATGGAATATATTTATGTCTCATATAGAATATTCCTTTAAATTTGACTCGGAGATGATGTAGTAAGGTTAAGAAGCTTAATAGTTATAAAAGTATCTGAGATAGAATTCTACATGCGTTTAAGATTAAAGTTTAGGGGCTAAAGTCAAAAGTAGCATAAAGATTGGACCTCATGGTCATGCAATAAATGAACGAAGGTTCAGGAAAGGGCAAATTGAATGGTGGTGTAATTTCTGGTGTTGTGGTCCATCCATCCAAAGCTAACCTCCCCTCTTGTGTTTCAAGTCTTGAATGGAGGAACAGTACTCAAAGAGTCTTGAATGAATATTTTCTTAACATTTTTAATTCCTTAATTTTTAGGCTGTAGCTCTGTCTCTTTTTTGTGTTATTAATTTTTATTTTTGGACTGCCGACACCGACTATATTTTTTACAAACTTTGATTTGTTTAGTCAAATACTTTTTCTTCTCATGATTACCGAAGATCCGTGAGATTTGAAGGTGCTCACACCATTTGTTTTTGTCTTGTAATGCTAGATGACTTGTTCTTGTTCCCCTAATTATATTTGTTTTTTTTTTTTTTTGCCCCAAGACCAATGTAATTGGTAGTTAATTGGAATGGGTGACGATTGAATTATTGAATAAGGGTTTTATTAAAATATATTTTATTGTTTTCTACCATTTTTCTAAGTGATTCAAACTATTTTATTATTGACCAACAAATGACAATTGATATTTTAAATTTTAAAATTTTGTTTCTTCAACCACAATTTTTAAGAGAAACCATGATCTTTAAGATGATTATTTGGGTAATGTATTAATTGATCATTCAATTTTTTTTTTAAAAAAGTTATATTTAATTATTATATAGTTGAAATGAATGATAATGATATGATGTTTTATAAAAGAAAAAAGGTAGGTGATATAAATCATGTTAGGTAATCAAATTAGTATGTGATATGAATGTCCGATGGCCATAAATAAAAGTACCAATTTTGAGAGCTATCAAACTAAATCTACTTGAAAATGCAAGAGTATGGAGATGCACCACTCATAAATAACTAAATAAAATGTAATTAATGGTAGTTTAATAAATCATTCAAAAAAAAAAAAAAAAAACCCAATAATAATCAAAATTAAATTTTTAAACAATGAAAATCAAATTGGACTAATAATTAAACAGGTGACCTTTTTTTCGGATACTCAATTGGATAAAACAGAGAAAAAGACAACAATACGGTATATGTGTATGTGTATTTGTATATTTTTTATTTAAAAAATAAAATTAATTAATGAATTTAAAAACGTGATGTTTCGTCCGTTGAACTTACCAAACCAAATCAAGAATGTCGTCCCCCTTTTTTCTTCTCTTTTACATTAAAATTCTATAATTTCTACCTACTCGTTATGTAATTAATACACGTGGTTATTCTTAATTTTTATTTTAATATTTTAATTTTAAAATTAGACCATCAATAATTATTTCTGTAATTTTTTATTAGCAGATAATATATAATTAAAGATATATACGTCCGATTAAGCGAATACAGAAAAAAATGATGGGACAGCTGTTTGCTTTCTGTAATTTCTGAAAATTATTTATTTTTCTTCTAAAATTATAAGCCAGTGTCAGCGTAACATTCTGCAAATAATATTTATCCATGAAAACTATAATATATATATATATATATATATATAAAAATATGTGAGTGAATTATTGAGAGTGTGATGTGATGAAATAGAAATAAATAATTGAAGTATGTGGGGGGGTAAGGCCAATTTTTGGGAGGGTGAAGCCAAACAGGTCCTATTCATAATTCATTTTTCCTTAAAAAATCACTTACGAGTTATGGTAGTGGATGGAATTTTTTTAGACTTTAGATTCTCAAAAAAATTTGGGATTAATTTTTAAGATAAGATAAGAAGATAAATATAAAGTAATTGGATACACCATACGCCACCAACTGTTCTGGAACAAACAAAAAACATGTGACCCGCTCCTATGGATTTTGTCTAAATTTTTCTTTTTATTTTATTTTCATTCATTCAAAAATAAATAAATAAATTTATTCGCTAATTTTTTGGAAATTATTGTTCGTCAAACTTTCACTCGAATTGAAAATTCAGTTGGAGCACATGCAAAATAGTTTGGTCATTTTTATATAAACACGTTTCATACTTTAAAATCATAAAATAAAATAACTTTGACCTATAATAGATTACACCATTATGTCACATTTCACTTACTCCTAAGTGATAATCAGCAAATTAAAATTTAATATATATAAATTTTATTATTATATTAGTTGATCATTCGTTTGAATTTCAATTTTTTTGTATAAAAAAAATAAAAAACTTCAAAGCCATACTTAATCATGCAAAACAAGATTTCAAATTTCTCAGGGGAATTATAATGTGATCATAAACAATAAAGGAAGACTACACAAAAGGACAATAAAGATGTTAATGTCAAATTATTCGGTATGGATTACCCAAAGAAGAAAGCAAGAAAAAGAAAGAATCACAATGAAAGAAAAAAACTTTTACTTATGGAAGTGTAAATAAAAGATAAAATAGTCAAAGTAGACAAGAATGTTACACCAAACTTTATTAATTGCAACTTGGAATTTAGGTTTAAAGGCCTTAATTACTTCATTAAATAACGTTTTTTAAATATATATATATTTTTTTTATTTTTTTACTTTTGGGTGGAATGGTAAGGAGGTGTCCCACGAAAAGTGGCTTTCTTATAAGTAAAAAAAAAAAAGAAAAAAAAAGATGCCGAATTAAATATAAAAGACCCTTGAAATTACATGTGATAAAATTAGTTCGTGGGTTATTTTCATGCCAACCCAGAGAATGATTTAAAAAAAAAAAAGAAAAAGAAAAACAAAATGGTCATATTGATCTACCAAATACCATGCATGACTTTTTCTGGACAATACTTTTCTTGAAATTAATCAAAGCTATTTAGAGAATGTATTGCATACTAAGCTTGTGATTATTTATTTACTATTATAGTTTTGCACATTGAAGAAAATTGGGTGATTGATTGATTGTTGATGTGATTGATAGGAGCAACCTCTATTCCGCTTTTCTTTGTTTTCTTCAAACAATAAAGAAATTGTGGCTCATTTTTCTTCTTCTGTAAATTTAATTTATGAACAAAAAGAATCGTTTCGTAGCCTCCCTCTGTGGGAAGACTAATACATATCGAGTTGCTAATTAAATGCTTGTTAGTTGTGGTTCATAAACCAAGACTAATTCTTGTATATTCTTAATCAAAAGAGCCTGCTGACAGTTTATCATTACTATTCTTATTATATTATATGCCAAAAGAACTTCCGACGATTGAATTAAAATAATCAGAGGGTGTTATAACCCACAAGACCAATTTGATTTTGTCAGATCCCAAAAAAATTAAAAGAAAATACGGCTGGAAGCACGGTTGCACGAAGAGGATCGTGGAACTTGAGATGGTTATAACTCATTAGACATATTATGGGCAGAGGTCTTTGTTATTGATCCTCCTAAGTGTGTGATGGTTTCTTTAAAAACTTTCATGCATAGGCGTTAGATCTTGCAAGCACCGGTTAGATGGTAGAAGAGATCTGGTAGGAGCTTGCAAAAACAAAATACGTGGGAGTGGGAGCGAGCGATCACGGGAAGTACAAAGTTTGAAGTATGCGGTCATTGTGAGTTTTAGACTTTTTTACCTTCAGGGTCTACTGTTTCCATATTTATTTTGCTATGAGATGTCTTGTTTAATTTGTTCATGTTTGGGTCAGGGAAGCATGCGAGACACCTCTTAAAACAGAAATATCTTCTTGGTGGTTTCTGAGACAGAAGGGTTCTTGGATCAAACCATTGACACTCATCTGAGACAATTGAGCTAGTCTTCCAAAAAGCTGCGGAAGAAGACATGCCAACCGAGGTGTGTGTATCATGATTCTTTCAAGCATCAAAGTTTATATATTGCACTTTATGGAGATACTGATTGAGGATTTCAGGTACTCCATTGCTTATGTCGTAAGATCACGCTTGATAATAATTTTCGTGATCTCGGTCATTGTTCCAAGTGGGGTTACATAAGAGAGAGCAGTAATTGTTGATCATCTTCAGGAAGGTAAGATATGGTTTGGCTTGCTGTTAATAATACATTAGAACTCAAGTATCTTTGTATTATACGCTGGGTCCTTCCATACTATTGTTTACCAACCTCAAATACAGATAAATTAAATAAATAATTAATTAATTAATTACGAGGAATAGAATGGAAATTGAAGGAGAGAATTCAGGTATCAACTACAAGGTCGCGGAAAGCCATCCCCTTGCGTTTTCCTATTCAATGTCTATAGAGAGAACCCCCAGGCTGTCTTCTGACAGAAACTAATCACCAGCTAAGCCACAATATAAGCAAAATGCATTAATTGAAAGAAAGAACTTCAGTTTTTTGAAAGGAAAAGAGACAAATAAAGCATGACATTAGCAACGTTGGCTAACAACCAGTCACCAATTCCAGAATCCAAAATCACCAGATCAATTTTGCTTTGCCGTTAAAACAGCTAGTAGCAGCAAATGCAAATAAGCTCCAAATAAGAGCAATCCAAACCCTGCTTCCGTGCAGAAAGAAATGAGGACATAAATACAAAGAAGCCAGGCGATTGATCAGTTTAAGGCACATGGCCTTTCCTATAAGCCAATTGTTATAACAGTATATTAATCTGTACAACTCAGAAGCCAAATTGTTAAGATTAATAACATCTGTACAGTTTTAAAGAAAGATTATATGAACTGGCATATTATGTTGTAAGGCATAAGACTAAACACTGAAGCTGACACAAAAAGTTACACATCAATCACTCGCTTAAAACAGAACAGTGATACTGGGAAAAGCTCCAGATCCTTGGATTTATCAGTTACCCCATGCGATCAACTTCTAATCAATCTTGTAAGCCCAACCATGTTTATCTAAATATGCTTGGACTGCTTCCTTGATTGCCAAGTTTGGCACTAGCTGGGATTCATCAAGTGGTTCCCGGGTAATAGGGTCAAATTTACCCACCTAATTTCAGTTCCAGTCCATATTAAATAAATTAGAAAAAGAAATAAAAAAATAAGAAAAGAGCAAAACAAAAGATACCTGAGTTCTAATGCATAACAGCAAGCCAAACTATATCTTACCTTCCGAAGATGATCAACAATTACTGCTCTCTCGTATGTAACCCCACTAGGAACAATGACAGGATCACGAAAAATATCAAGTGTGATTTTACAACATAAGTAATCAGGTACCTGAAATCCTCAATCAGTATCGCCATAAAGTGCAGTATAACCTTTTATGCTTAAAAGAATCATGGTACACACCTCAGTTGGCATGTCATCTTCTGCAGCCTTTAGGAAGACTTGTCCAAGATCCCTCAATTGTTTTAGATGACCATCAATGGTTTCATCCAAGAACCCTTCTGTCTCAGAAATATCAAAAAGATATTTCTGTTCAAGAGCTGTCTCGCATGCTTCCCTGACCAAAACATAAACAAATTGTACAAGGCATCCCATAGCAAAATAAATATGAAAACATTTATTTAACAAAAATTTAGAACAGTAGCCCTTGAGGGTAAAAAGGTCTAAACTCACAATGACCACATACTCAAACT